GGTGGTGGTGGTGAAGGGCGGCGACCGCCGCCGCCGGCGGCGTCACCGCGTAAGCGGGGATCTGGCCCTGGGCCGGATTCGGCGCGGCGAGCGCCAAGGATTTGCTCGTCGCTGCCGGGGTGGGTGAGGCGGGGGTGGTCGAGGTAGGGGGCGGATTGGACGCAAGAGCCATCAGCCAGAAGTCTGGATTCCTGATGGCCGCCTGGGCCACCTGGGCCTGGGCCGCTTGGGCCGCCTGCGCCTGGGCCACCTGCGCCTGCACTAGAGTGTGAATGTCCCAGAGTTGCGGCGGCGGTGGCTGGGCGGCCTGCACGGGTACCGGCACCGGCGCCGGATGCGGAGGCGGATGTGTCAGTGTCGCAGGGGTCTGTGTGGTTAACGTACCGGGTGATGGCAGTGGTGTGGTTGACGGCGGTGTTACCGCACCGGTCAACACCAGACTCATATCGTCGCCGCTGCATTGGAACACTTCGATGTAACGCTGCTTCTTGCCGAAGATCATGTAACGGTGATGCCGCTGCGACGCGCACGCGTACGCCGACGTCTCGCTGTCCATTTGGATGAAGGCCTCGCCGGACGGCTGACCCTGCCGAAACAATGAGACGGAGAAAGAGAGAGAGAGAGGGGGGAGGGTGAACGAATGAACGAACGCAGCTTCGCGAGGATACGATAGGACGATCGATATGTACTTGCGCGTTGTAAACCATGTGGACGCCCTGGAAGACGATGTTCTTCGAGTGCTCGCCCATGAACTCGAGAATGTGCTCCACCACCGCCTCGTACGGCAAGCCACGGAGTCTCACGCAGTCCTTACGCGTGCCGCATGTAATGATATGCTGAGGTATCATCGAAGTCAACGGCACCATGCGCGGCGGCGGTTGCACCACTTGCTTCGGGTCTATCGCCCTGTTCAGTACCTGCGCGCATTGAAGTCGGAACACGTTGAGTTGAACACGCCGAGATATCGGGTCTCCTTTAGCTGAACTAGGTTGCACTTTCTGCCGTTAGAGCGTAACGAGTATGCGAATCTAGCGATAATGGGAAAAGGAAGAAGGTTTCGGTTGGTCCCAGCAGCACTGGTTCAGCTAAGAAGAACAGGCCCGTTCGAGTCTGTATCAGATTACGGATCGGGACGAGCTTGAGTTTAGTGAACTTTGCACCGGTCAGTTAAATTCCAATTCGATCGCAATCCTGATCCGTGGTCTAATACTGGGTTTTACTACGCTCGCATACTCACTTGCTGCACTTCCGCGGTCGTACTCCGGAACAATTCAATGTACCGACTGCCGATGCAGTCTCTGTGTTTGCTCAACGCCTTCACGGCGTCCTCCTCCTTCGCAAACAGGACGAAAGCGTCACCGGTCGCCCTACCGTCGGGTTTCTTCACGAACAACACCCCGTCCTCACCATCCAGTACGTGACACGACTTTAGTCCGGACATGAAGAATTCCAGCTGCAGGGGGGGGGGGAAGCATATCGAGTGTGTGTATAGCAGCCAAACGGAGCGCAGCGTACGTTCAATCAAGAGAAAGCTTATTAATGTCGCATTATCAATGCCACATAGAGAATACTTTAAATTCGTTTTGAAACAATTATATACCACTTGTTTAGCAACACAATCATACGGCAAGCCCCGCATTCTAACGATGACTTCAGCCCCGCGTGACAGAAAAGCGTGCGCCTCCCCGCTCGTACCACCAGCAACGCCAACAAAATCCTCTCCGGAGGCTTTGTAAACTTCTATGTATCGTGCACCCATGTGATGTTTATGCCGCTTCAGCGCCATGTCTCTGTGTTCTTTATTAATAAACCGTACCAACGCTTCGCCGTTACGCCTTCCCATAGGACTTAAACAAAGAGCTACACCACCCCTAAAAAAGTTATTACACCACTGTTAGCGTGTCGTTGCGCTCCAGCGACCAGCCTCCTCCTCTCTTTCTTTCTCTCTCTCTTTCTCTACTTAATTTTTCCATCTATATATATACATATATATACATATATATGTATGTATGTATGTATATATATATAAGTAATATTACGAACGTCGTTAGAGAATTCATGAAAAGATAACAATATTAAGGAGACTCTACGAGAATTCTAATGTCGAGTTTATCACATAGTTAGATCCATAGAACATACGAAATCCACGACTCCAGATAATGCTTATCACTATGTACAACAGCTATGAAGCAAGTAGGAGAAAAAGACCTCTGAAGTCTCGTATTTGTTAAATCATGTAGGAGAAACTAGGGCAAAAGGGCGGACAACAACAAACCGAGCTTGTGCGCTTCTAAGTGCGTTATAGAATGCGCTAAGTCAATCAATTACCTGCTTTACACAGATCCATGTGGCTTGTGCATAAATACCAAAAAGATAGTTAGAAGACAAATTGAAACGTCTCATCGAGATAACGTTAGTTATAGTATCTTAATCTGGTCTTGGTAGATTTCAACAGCATTACTCACTTGGCGACATTGAGCCCACGAAAAAACTTGGCGATGTCCTGATCTGAGGATTGCCAAGGAAGACCACGCGCTCGTACTACACAATCATTCTCCACCTCCTCGTCTTTGGAGCTGAGAACAAGTTTGTGTAATTTTAATACATCAAATAATATCAAATAATGGAAAAAAAAAAAAATATATATATATCAATATAGATATACATATACAGATAAATATGGAGAAAAATTCTTGCTGACACAGGAAATTATCAGTTATAGTAGCGACGGTAAAAAAATTTGTCACACGGAGAAAATAATTTTATTTTGGTAGCAAAAAATCGTGATAACAAAATTCAATTGGCATCACTAAATTATTTTCCATATATCGAGCAAATAGCGATCGGTACTTTCGATAAATCTTTCTGCTTTCTGCACCAGAGTAACTGATAATTTGCTGTGTCAGCAAAAAAATTTTTCTGCGCGTATACACGTTAATAAACACCAACAATAACGTTACACCAATAATTTCTCACTTGACAACGTAACCGCGTGCAACATGTGTTATATTATGCTTATATCGTTGAGTTGGAAATTTTATTATTAATGTAACGTTACTGTTAGTTGATATTTACTGGAATCATGTATCAAGTATATACTCGTATTCTTTTCAACTTACCATATGCCAGGTTCTAAGACGATGTTAATTACTTCTGGATTTTGAAAAACGTGACCTGCAAAATACAAGCATAAATTCCCTCAGTTATATATTAATTATATATTCGGACAAAAAAAAATACACACGGCACATACATAATTCTCAGACCTGCTACTTTCAAACCGTGTTACATTTTCCAACCGTAAAAATCACGAAACTAATGTGAATTCTCAGGATTTCTAGACGAGAAAAAAGAGGTGGAGAAGAAAATCACAGAAAAGTAAGAAACTCGGGAGATCTGATCGGGAAAATACGAACCTCGAGAAAAATAATCTTAGAAGTTGCGCGCGGCTTCGGGAACGTTTCTTGCGGATTTAACCGGCCTCGAGCACGAACTCACTCGCGAGATCACGACAACTTTTCATGCGGCTCATCCACCGCGGGAGAAAAAGAAGCTCCAATCCACCAGGAAAAGTCAACGCGGAACGCGATATTGTGTACGAAACAACGCGTGTAAACACAAAGGCATGCACAGCCGGCAGCGACGCATCGGCAACGCCGATCGTAGACCGCCGATTGGCTCCATCCGAGGCGCGCAGCGACGGCTCGCTTTATTTCGTTAAACGATATTTTTCGACTTTTATCTGAAATCCTTGAGAAATATCGCCCATGATAATCGTTCGCGACAGCGTCAGTCGACGTGATTTCATGCGATACTTGAGATTATCGGGGAAGCTGCGGCTTCCTATCATTCCATCCCTTCCTCCTCAGCTGCCTGTTACACAACGAGAGATGTTTTTTTAATTTTTTTTTGTATGAAAACAGACGTTATGCAAATACGTATCGTCATATTGCACTCGTATAACTAATGCAATCAATCCGGTAAGGAATGTCGTTACCGTAGAGGTGCTCCGAGGGTTAAAGTAAATGGCGAGAAAAATTGAAAACCTGAGTAATAAAACCTTATACGTATAGTTGGTCGCAGATTGTAGCAATAGTTTGTTCTTTTTTTCTTACATACTTCAGAATACACGAAAAATAGAACGGAGCGAACCTGTGATTTACGAACATGCGCGATAGAGGGCCAGACAGCTGTCAAAATTAGATATGTATACGTCAAGATTACATATGTATATTTAATTTTGACAGCTGTCTGACTATCTACCGCGCATGCTCGCAAATCATAGATTCGCTTTGTCGTATTTCTTATGTGTTCTGAAACTTGTGAAAAAAAAGAATCCTGTTGCCACCGTTCTGTGACCGACTTCACACGGAAAGGAAATGGTTTTAAATCGATGATAGATATTCTCACGTATAAGTAAGAATATTACAATATTCTTAGGAAATGTTTTAGTCTTGAATTACAAATAACACTCGATACAAGTTCAATCAAATATATAATAATATGAGAATATCTATTCTTGATTTAAGACTAACTTTTTTTTATGTAACTTTTTCCCGAAGATGGGAACGTGAATGGCGAAGAGCGCACGAAGAAAATATTGTAGTGAAAATTACCACGAAATTTTGTAATGTTGGAACATACCGGAATTATAACTGAGATTATAATGTGTGTTGCAATTTTTAGTGATGTATTTCATTGTACACAACACTAAAGATTACAATACACATCATAATTTCAGTCGTAATTCCGATATGGTACCAACATTACAAAATTTCGTGGCAATTTTTTCAATTATAATATTTTCTGCATTTGGAATGTCTCCAAATTAGAAAATTAACACTTTTGACGAGTTCACGCTAGAGGAGAAAATTCATGACTCCCTGGGTGATCATAAATCATCTTTTCCAGCGTGAATTCGTGAAAAGTGTGTTTTCTAATTTGAAAACTTCATTTTTCGCGTTTCTGCTCCAGGGAAAAAATTGACCGATGCCCTGCACGAAGACGCAACACTATTTCTTTGCACGGTTATAAGTCTGATTGTGACAGTCCTACAGTCGTGACTCGCCTTCTAAACTTGTGCTTATGCGTTTCCTCCGTAACCCGATATCCGCCGGATTGTCTCCGATTTCTTGTAGCCGGGCGAAATGGTTATTCGATTTGCGGGCTCAGCGAAACGCCACCCGTCGTTTCGACAGAAGTAGAAGTGCGTTTGGAGGAATGCATGTGCTAAAAATCGATCGTCGCGCGTTATTCCGTCACTAGTCGCGTTTCGCGCTGGCAAAATAACAACAAGGTCGGGTCGGATCCGACCGGATCCACGTTCTAATGCTTCCGCGCACGCGCTCGTCAAGCGTTATATTTCCGATATCTTACATATTTCGCGATACATCTTACTTTCAAATATCTTCCAACTTATTGTGAAAATAAAAAGTGCCTAGTCGAAAAAGTTAATTGAAAAAATTACAAAACGCTTCTACCGGTCGGAGCCGACCCACTTTGTTACACGTGTGGCTGCGTGAACTTTGTTACTCGAAGATTAAGAATCCGACCACACGCTATCGAGTATTTTTCGAAAGTAAATCGATGGATCGCGCTCAATGGTACATACGAGTTCAACAGGCATCGTCATTATTATTGAGCACGCCGATATTCCAGCAATATGGCGAGATCGGTCGGAGATACGCGGTGTCAAAAGTGCAATGCATTTTTTCGCGCTGGCGATAACACCATGCGCTATCAATTTTTAACGTAGTTTTCCACAAGTTGAGTGTCACTGTGATAAGAGAGCCGCAACATGCTCGAGCTGTTGCTTAGAACGAACGTTGCACACAGTGTTTAATCGGTACTCGTGGTCTCGGATGCAATTGTAGGAACGATCACGACTACCGAATGCCTTTACAGCGAAAGTTCTGTGAATTTTTGACGAAGATGCGGTCGAGAAGGATCATTCGCCAGCGTATCACGACTGTTTATCATATGATATGATTCGTTCGACTTCTCTCCCTTTCTCTTATCTCTCGAAAAAAGAGATGACACATTCCGAAGATATTTTCCGTCCGAGCGCACTCAGGAACGAATTTCGAGAGAGAGAGGGAAAGAGAGCAATCAGAAAAAGTAATTTTTCGATAAATACCGACTTAATCACCGACGACCACCTTCAAGGCCACCGTCACCGCTGTCAGGTGTAAACATGCCGCATAGCATTTGGAGAAATGGAAACATCGCACGTGCGCCCGCGCTGATGCAGCTCGCGTGCAAAATTAAGAGAAAAGACTAAAGCAAAGTGAACGACGCGCTTTCGAGCGTATTTCAGGTATCATTGTTAATATCAAAATACGAGAGAGAGAGAGAGAGAAAGAGAGAGATATTATAACGAGGAAACTGAGGAAATCGAAGAAACTGATAATTTCTATGATCGAGCGAACTGCGTCAATTAAATATCTTTTTTCTCTAAAAAAAAATTAATATCCGGGAAGTTTCTTATATATAATTATACGTAGAATATGTCCATATACAAAAATATATAATTATAAACAGAGTGTTCCACATCAACATGTGGTCTGTTCTTTTTAACTGAACTGGCTGCACTGGTTTAAGAAATTTACGTACACTGAAGCGTGAGAATCTCGTAAGTAATGCTTCATACACGCTTCAATGTGTATGTAAATTTCTCGAACTAGTGCAGTCAGTTTAGTTAAGAAGAACAGACCGTGGACAAACTTCGCGAGGGTATAGGTATATACGGATAAAGGTGAACAAAAAAGTCCTGTACTATTTTGCAAACAACGCGCAAAATTTCGAGTTATTAATTATCGAAAATAGCTATACACAGAAGCTTCTTTAATTAATTACTCAAAAATCTGCCTGTTATTTATAAAATGATACGAGACTTTTTTGGTTCAGAGTGGCCTAATCTACAAATATATGAGACAACTATTGTACCTGGCGGCAACAGATATCAATATATTGAACCTTGAACCTGTCGCTAGGTACAATAGCTATCATATACTTAGTATATTAGTAGTAGTAGATTAGAATATTGAACATTGAACATTGACCAAAAATTTTTTATAACATTTTTCAAATAACACGCAAATTTTTGAATTATTAATTAAAGAAGACTTTGTACATGGCCAATAATTTTAAATTTGTAATATGGTAGATCGCTTTTTTGTTCAATCCATTCTACGTCAGCACGAAGTTTGTGATCTGATACATTCTATATGTATCATTACGCGTATAAAGATTACATGTATTTACATATAATTATATATAAATATATACCACTATTTAATATATAATTATATACATATATATATAGACATATTCTATATATGATATTTTATATATGATTATGTACGATTATATGTAATAATATATAATTGTATATGATTATATCTGATTATACGTGGAATATTTTTTCCCAGGTATATAAAATAAATGTTCACGAAATGTCGGAAACAAACTTATGAACTTATGAATTAGCGCGATGCTAATTTGGAAACCGAATCAAGCATTTATATTGCGGAAGCCTAAGAAGCCCGTATCAGATTACGCATTGAAGATTGAAATTGAAATGAAATTTGACCAATCAGTGCAAAGTTCATTAAATTTCACTAAGGGCGGCGAATATTTCGTTAAGAGAGATGACTTTCACTACCTTAACCGGAGTTGGTGAAAGTCACTCTAAACTTGAGTAAACAGTGAACTTTGCACCGATTGGCCAAATGCAATTCAATCTCCGGCGCGTAGTCTGATACGGGTTTAAAAAGAGTCATATAAAATAAAAGGGGAATAAAATCCACTAAAATACGTTAAAATAAAATAAAGGGGAACTTGGAGAGGCGCAAGTGCATCTTTCGACGCATTTTAAGCGGCCTCGACAGACCACAGGAAGTACAGAATACTAAGAAAATATTTTATCGGCTTACCGTCCTTAATCATTCTCTGAATCACCGTCACCATGTCTTGTATCTCTTTGACATGAAAGTCATTATCCGTGTCCGGCGGCAGTCCGAAATCTGATCTTCAATGGTCAAGGAGACATCTTTTTTCTTTCTTTCCTTCGTTTCTTTTCTTTTCGTGTATATGTGTACAAAAGTGTGCGATCAAATCGACCGTCATATCGCGGCGACGAATTATGCACGCGTCTCGTAAAGCCTTCTTCTTCGAGAACGGCGAGAAGTCGCGAGCGCGATCGAAAGTCGCGCGACGGCCGCCTCCTCTCCGGCGACCTTTGCGCCCGCGTGCTGATAGAAATTCATCAGAAACGGAAATCGCCGCACTTTTACAGCACTCTCTCGCGGAATCTCGCTCGCTTATCGCGCCGAGACTGCAGACGTTAATAATAATATCGCGGATACGACTTGGTTGCGAAAAGAAAAAAAAGGGGAGGGTAAAAGAAAAAGAGGAAAACAAACACGCGTAAAGCAATCTCTGCTTGAAGAGAACTTGAGACCTGCCGATTCTGCGCACACACAGAGAGAGAGAGAGAGAGAGAGAGAGAGAGACGTGATGAAACACGACGTGAAGAAGAAGAAGAAAAAGTCGACTACGGATGACACCGAGTGCCACTCTTCTCTGTACGCGCGATCCTCGACGCCTCTCTTACACGGGCCTTGCGTAACACTGCGGCGAAAGAGCGCGCAGTGCGGCATACAAAAAAGTATTTTATGCGCCGATTGCGCGCGGAATAAAACCGCATCTCCGAATTCGCACGCGCGCGCGCCTCGGTAAATAACGTTATAACGACGACGACGGAGGATGGCGGAGCGCGCGAGCGAGCGACAACGTGCGGAGGAGCGTTACATACCCTGTGGTTTACGAACCGGCAAATGAACGAGTACGCCCGGGTAATGGCCAGGTAGCAGCCGTAAGCGGCACGACGACGAGCGTGAGGTTACGACGTGCTGCGACAGCGAGTTCCTGGACACGCGGATATGCGGCGCACGTATGCGGGCGAGGAGAAACGAGTCGGATCGAAAACTGGAAGACAGTATGTGTGTATGTGTGTGTGTGTGTGTGAGAGAGAGAGAGAGAGAGAGAGAGAATCTCACTGAACGCGCGATAATAACGTGTATACATATGTGTCACGTGCGCTCGTCTTGCTGGCCTGTTCCCGATATCTTCGTTAGAAGGCTGACCTTTAAACCGTATCCCGATAAGAAGACGGCATAAATCAGACGCGTGGCCGGCCGAGAGAGCTCTTTCTCAAGTCGAGCCTAATCGTTACTGCCTGTAACCGATGCGCGCCACGTTTCCTCTCGCCCCCCACCCCGCCGGGCCCTCCGTCTGTTGCTCCCTCGCCCGGTCCCCCGGCCGTCTTTTCGCGTGGCAAACACGGGCCGAAAATGATCATCGTGTGCGCCGCAATCGGGAGCTCTCGAGGGAGATACGAGTTGTGAAAAATTACCGAGAATCGCGAGAAGGAGTGACACACACACACACACACCGTTCACCTCGCTCGAGGTCTCTCCTCGGTGAGAGAGAAAATGTTGATAAGCGACGATCCCGCGGGGAATTGTTGCCGGATTATTTATATTTTCGGCTCGAGACGCAATTCTAATGAAACATCGGCTCTCGGCCGATGGCGCACACCGAGAGCGAGCTCGTTAGTTCCGCAAATGTGTTTCCGGCCTGAGGACGAAGGCGAAATCCGAGATGCGGATTAACCCTTTACGAGACGTGGCACTTCAGATGATGGGCGTCCGCTGTGGAACGACGATATACGAGAAGACGCTGCAAATGCTTCGCGAAAAATCGGACAAATCGATTTCCGAACGCGCGGAGTGCACGCAGTTTGCGATGTGCGCACGACGCGACATTCATTTGTTCCCCGACGTCAAATCGACGTCACTTCAATGTACATCTCTCGCTGGGAAGTAATATTTACCGAGGAAAAATTTGCCAAGTTCGGAGCAGTTATTTATAATGTGGTCGTGCGGCCGTTTCGGTCGGTCCACTCGCTTCCAACTGCAACGGCTGTGAGCAGTCCGTCGCCAGAATTGGAAGTGAATTGGACGACCGCGACTATACGAGCCCTCGACCGCATTGTAAACGACGCTTAGGCGCCCCGGGAGCAACTTAAGCTGGAGGAACTTAAGCAGTAAGGAAATTAACTAACCACGCTCGACTATTCTCCTCACAGTTTAAGAATAATCGGCTGTAGTTGGTCAATTTCCTTACCGCTTAAGTTTTTCCACGTGCTTGCGCCCTTAAGCCAATGGCACGCACGAAAACGTAAGCAGTAAGCAAATTGGCCAACCACAGTCGATTGTTCCAAGGAAGGAATAGTCGACTGTGATCGGTCAAGCTTGCTCGTTTTTGCTTGACGTTTTTGCCGTGCGAGATTCGACGTCGGGCGGCAGAATGGAAATAACAGTTTCTGCGCAACGACCCCCGAATATCGCGCGGCCCCCTTCCCCCCTCCCTCCCTCCTTGTTATCGCCGAGCTCGTTTTCTTTCTATTTTCCTTCCTCACACAAAGCGAGAGCGGCTCAAATTATCGCGCTCGAGAAGCTTGTTGACGAATTAAATTCGTGCCTGCGTTTAATAATCGTTCGTTATCTGCGACGCGGAGGAGACCCGGCAAGTGAAACGGCATTTTCGGGACGATTCTAACGACGATGGCGTCAGCGATTTCGAAAGAAGACCGGCGGATTAGCGACATGTCGCTTAGACAAACACGATCGTCAGAAGCAACGGGAGAGGCGTATCAATTAATCTCCGTCGACTGATCTAATACCGCCATTATCGCACACCCGTTAGCGATAATGCTCGCGCAGATAAAATATTCAGCGAGAGCAGCGGAGAAAAATCCCCCCGACGAATTTCCCAACCTGAGAGGTGAATTCTCGGCCGAATAATATCCTAAGGATTCTCGGGATTCGCGTAAGGACAGTCGGCACGATCAAAGTTGCGACACTTATTTCTCGATGAGTTTCGCAAATGCACGTTCATATCCAATGGGGAAATATTTCTTGGAAATTATTAACAAATTAATTTCTCCATTGTGGACACCGAAAGCGTTGCGAAACTCGTGAGAAAAAGTGTTGTAACTTTTGTTATGCCGATTGTACACGATGTGCAGAGATTAGCTGGGTAAATGTGTCGGTTTTGATATCTATTTTCTCGAAACGTCATTTCTCCAATTTCTTAAGGCTCCTCCCGGTTGAAAAGAATCCAGGTGAGAGTCGATATAGAAAATCCATACGGAATTCCATGATTGAATCTGGGAATTTGCGCCAAAAATCCAGATCCTGAGCCCCAAGTAGCATAATTTTCAATAAACTACGTGTCCCACACAGCACACATTAATTGAGGGGCTATGGACATTATCACGGGATATCGGAACAATTACAAGATATCATAAGATAATCTCAGATATTCATTTGATATCTAACAGATGCACAAGTGTCCGCCTGTGTGATATCCTGCGTATATCTTAAACGATATCCGATATCCAAAAGATATCCGAGAAAACTCAAGAAACATCGTGAAATATATTATTACATACCCAGGTAGCACACAGAACACACACATACAAACACATGTCATATGTCGATCATTTTTTAATTACTGGATATCATTTGCACTAATACGTCTAATATTTGAATAATAATATCCTCCAGCGAGAAATGACTCGTTGAATTGACGTCGATTCGAATTGTAATTTCAAATTTCAATGTGACTTGCATGATTTGATTTACACTTCTCGCCGAGTCGAAGAAATATCAAAATTATATTATCACCGACGGCAGGAAATCACGAGATTATTATATCAAGCAAAGAGATACAGCAGAATATTTGAATATCGTGAAGAAACATCCCGGATACTAGGATATCTATGCGATCGCATGTAAAAATCTCACACAGTTTGGAATATCCCCGGGACAAAGTGTGCCGTGTGGGTTCGGTAGAAAAATGTGGCCGCTTTGCACGCGTAAATTTTAATTCTACATCCTCGAGTTTCAAAGTTCAGAAAACAAAACGGCAGATCGGTCTTGCTTTTCCCCCTATGTGACGGCGCGTACGCGTCGTCCGTGTGTGCGTGTAACACATCTACGGTCGGTCCCCGCGAGAAGCAACGCAGAAAATTGAAGTCATGGACCGGCTAATCTCAACGTGACTCGCACTGGACTGGCGAGCGGTGCGAGTCGGTCGGTCGGTGCGTGTACATACACGTGCCTCACACACGCGTCTCGGCTGAGCGCAGGTGGTCTTGTTTTATTAACGCCAGGTAGATACAACATACGCGAGTCCAATACGAGGAAGGAAGGCTGCGGAGTTGTGCGCCGTATAGAGCCGGCGTGAATCCGAATCGAGGTCGAATTTATAGCGGGTAAGAGCCAGCTCGTCTCAGCCGAGACGGCGTTGCTGCTGCCTGTTGCTTCGCCAGCCGTGGGATTCGAATCACCATTGCATTAGATTCAAAATACGCCCGGTGGTAGAGATTCGACGGGCGGAGTGGAAGAAGAGAAGATCGAGGCATCCGAGAGAGAGAGGGATACACCAAGTGGCGAGAGATCGGTCGCGCGAGGACACCGTCTTATTATTCATTCTATCGAGACGTGACGCGAGGAACCTGAGACCCGAGTTCGACGAATAAAACGCGGGCGATAGCGGCGACGATACGTGCACCTCTTTATCGAGTCGATTGGATCTTCCCGGCGGATGGAGATTAAAGTCGACCGGTCTAATCGGCCGGTTACTTAACACGAGAATCGAAAGGCCTGAGCTAAGCACCGATATCTAGCGGAATAATCTCGCTTCTGCGGATTCGGCTACGCGATTCTACGGCTGGACGTGTGGAAGTCACGCTGCCTTTCACACGCTGGATCGGCGCGAAAGGTTCGCGGGTTTTCGCCGGAGGGACCGGCGCAGATAACAAGGACATACCTGCTCGTCACTTCGATCCCAAATAGCTGTTAGGAACTCACGTGTCGGCCGCAAGGATCGAGAGGATGCACGATACTGTCTGCCACTGTGCGTGCACGTGTGCGAGAGTCGATGCTGCGCGACAACTGATCTTCTTCTTTATAATCTTCTAATCCAGCCTCCGCCTCGGACTACGACGACGATCTGACCGATTATCGCGACCGTGGGATCGTATGAGGAGACACGTCGAGAGAGAAGGTTCGCAAAGCAGCGGCAAACGTGACATTCGTACCTCGTCATGCAACCGCAAAGACTGACTCCGACTCGGGACTGACGACGATCGCTGAATCGTCGCAGTGTATCGTCGAAGACCGCGTCGTCGTGCGTGCGCCTCTCACACGCGTCGGGCGGACTTCCCGTCGCGCCACCTGACGGTCACGCTGAGCGAAATCGAGCTCGCGTAGAAACGCACGGACCGGCAACGAGCTAGATCTTCACTTCGTCGTCGGTCGTGCCGGTAAATTTCGGTAAAGCGATTAATACCGGCTTTATTGCTCGGCTAATCGGTAGGCAGTGGCGGTGATGTCGAGTGTGATCTCCGTAAATTTCACGAATCATGAACATGGCGCCGGAGAGATCGGAAAATTGGCCGTAGTTGTGCGATCAAGAAGGATCCGATTCACACGGAGCACGTTTCGAGAAAAATGAAGATGAAAATATGATATATGATTTAGAGAATGTAAATAGCACTGAAGTTCCTCACGAATCGCTCAAGAAGTCTATTTTCCTCTCTCGAAGAGTATTCATTGACCAGCTTAAATCAACTTAAATTAAAAGATGGCACATAATTGGTAGAGAGTAAAAACTGTTTTTTAATTAATTTCAGGCGCCCGTAAGACTTGATCTTTTTTGTTTTACATAGAAAGACATATTACCACACTCATTTATAGATCAGCCACAAACTCTCAAAATGGTAACAAAATGTCAAAAATCATAACTCCGTTGGATTCTTCTCGCACAACTTCGGCCGATTGTTCGTCGGAAGTGATAAAAAGACTCGAGGGTCAAGAACGAGGGGAAAGATCTCGTTCGTAATAAAGTCGGCCCTTCTCGCTCGGCGGTCAGTCGAAAAAGCACAAAAGGATACATTGCAGCATCTCTTGCACTCCGAGGGTCGATAACTCCCCGTGGGAAGAATAACATGCCACAAAGTCCTTTCGCAGATCGTAGAAGTGGTTGTAGTGCTCCGGCAGCTCGATGTCCTTGTTGCAGGCCTCGGGATGCAGGCATTGTCTCATTGGCGCTTGGCCGTCTACCACGAATCTCGGCGTCGCGCCGGATGTGACGCAGGACATGGACGACCACCAAGTCTCGAACTTGAAACAGAGCAAGCACAATACCGTCTGACATTAGACACACTTCCGTTCGGATCTGCGATTATTGTGTCAAGCGTATGAGCGCGGTGTCTTAACGAACGGAACCCACCGACGAAACACCGACCGCCAATACTATCGGCGCGCGTCCGCTCTCGGAGAGGATTAGCGCTTTTACCACTGCTACTCGAAAAAGTCCCGCGCCATTGGAGAACTTTCTTCAAGTTGCCCGAATTCATAGTTAAGGCCCAAATTCCCCCCCCCCCGCAAAATTTCCCGACGTCTTCGTAAGAACGCTCGATGAAGGACGTTTTTTGTCTCCAAATTCCAACATTTATTTATTTATTTATTATAGACGGATAACTCATTTAATAACAAGAGAAGGTCAAAATAAGAGACAAGGAAGAAGAAGAGAGAAAATAAACAAGACAATGATAAGAAAAGAAAATACATTCAATAGTTAATTTCAAATATTTAACACGAAACAATCCGATCCCTTTTTCTCCGGAGCTGCAGAAGTGATGTTAAAAAAAGAAAAACGTATAAATCTCATGAATTTTGTACTGATAAATCTCTCGTTGAAAATAAGTTCCTTTCACTTCCCCCTTTTTTTGCAGAGCAAATCGTTAATTAAGATGAGAAAAACAACTCGTATTTATAGGATCCAGTTTAGAACCGAGTGTCCTTCGTTTGTTATTGTCGATGTACGGTTAACAAATACCTGTTCTATGGCCTGCTGCAGAGGGATCCCGTGCTCCCGAAGGTTTCGTTCGGTCAAAGCTGGAGCATGTGCCAGTGCCGCGTCGTTAATGATCCCGCTACTTCCGGCAACCGCTGGGTTGTCGCTGCCAGTCCCGGGCGTACAACTGTCTTCCATTACCATCGGTCGCACGATGTACTGTTGCCAGTCCAGCACCTGCAAGGAATCCGTCGTCTCGTGAGACACACTCGTGCGCTTTTTGCTTCGTCCCGCGGGACACAAATACGCGAATCCGTGTTATAAATTCTCACGCATTTTCACTCAATCATTCGTCGCATTTTCTCAATCCTCTCAATCAAGCACGTTTTTTCTTCTTCATTGTTACATTCATCGTTATTGTTACCTCTTGCGTAATAATACTTTTTCCTCCACCTACACCGATCGTTATTGAGTTTTATATTAACTCTCGAATGAGATCTAATAATAAATACGGATTATTCGTTACAGGCGGATAAGAGAATTACGAGTAGGGATAACGCGAGTGAATTTTTGTCACTAAATTTATATTGATTATTGGATCTCTCAAGCTCGACATGCCCGTCCAGTTTCTTTCTAATCGCAAACGCAGAACCAGACGATCGGGTTCGCGGCACAGCGCGCGGTCAAGGTCACGAGCCTTCTCGCACCTTGAACTCAACCGATGCATTCCGTAGTGATGCATCGATAATGCATCGCGATTAGCGGTATTAGCGCACAAGCGCGCCTGCAGCGAGACACCGTGCATTTCCGCGAGCTGCAGCGATACGATGTTTGCATATCAGAAGGGGCGGACCTCGTCGCGCTGCTGCATCGCGAAACACGTTGCGCTCTCGTTTCTTCTGGCTCGTGTTGTACATCCGATAAAAATCGTTTATCTTTCTTTCCGACTCTTCGACACCCATTTGCTCACCGTCGGTATGCGATGGTGAGGAAATGCGTGAGCAAAATCGGCTCATGAGTCGATTTCGTCGCACTATTTATTTATGTAGCATTGCTAAATTTCTTAAAACGCTGACTTAATCGAAGTAACAGTGAAAATGAAACCACCGCTCGAAATAGCAAGAACAAATGTTTCGCTCAAGAAAAAGGTTTCTTTAGATTTAGTATTTCTATTTATTTGACTAAAACTTGTTTCATAGAAACGACATACACTTTTACGAGATCTTATTTGTTTGAGTAAAAATTTGATCGTCCCATTCAAGAAAGTTCTATTATTTAACAGAAAGAACACTATTATTTGAATTAATATCTTTTAACTAAATAAAATATTACTTGGTTCCAATAAATATGTAAAATGAAATAATTTCTTTATGAGAAAATTATCTTTCGTTTCAAATATACTTTTTATTTAAGATAACATATTCGTTGAAAAGTCCAACAATCGTACTTATTAATCGAAACGCTAGTTTCGTCGGAACAACGAATGAAATTTGTTTGGATGCAATAAAATTTATTAAATTCGGAGAAATCTTTTTCTCGGTGCATAAAATGGACTCTCCATATGAGCGAATGTGTCATTCGATTAGAGCGAAAAATGAGTAAGCAAGCAAATAAGTAAACAAATTACTCGATTTCGAGTGGCTAATATGTAAATGAGCTCGGTGATCACTCGACCCTTCGAGTAAAATTCCACTCCCCGAGAAATTTAAAGAGCAACCACGAGATTTCTCGTATGTAATGCGTTAAGAATGCGTCGTCGATGTTCTCCGCTTGATAATTCAAAACAATGCCTCTCAACGTGGCCCGTGTGACCGACCACGTGAGGTCAAGGCCCATCCCGAAGGGACCTCACATAAAAGAAAGAGAAATAATACTAACGAACGGTAGACTGCGGTAAAAAACTACGTAAAAAAGCGCAAGCGGGCCGCGATAAATATTTGCCGAACGAGCGTCTCATGTGTGCAGTCCCTTTCCGCTTATCGGTGATTATGTAATGCGAAAAGAAATAAGCGTGCACGGAGGTAGGCAGATTTCTGGAAAACATGTCGTATCTTATCTTAGATAAATAAAATGTATAATAAATAAATGACATGACATTCGTAACTTATACATGCGAATATATCCATACAGCACAAATGTCCAAAAGACGTTCTAGGAACGTCCCAGGAGATATTCGAATATTCAATAACAATTCGAATAACAAGTTTGCAGTCAGGATAAATCGAATGATTCGGTTGTAATTATAACAAATCATAAATGCATATCTTTTATTCAAAACTTGAAACTTGATATAAAACTACGTTGAACATCTTCCAAATTTCTCCTATAAAATAGTATGATTTACTTTAATAAATAAAAATTTTCAAAAACAAACAAAACGATATTTTATATCAAATTATGTTATTAAACATATTCATATTAAACAAACAAATATTTATATTGAATCCAAAAAGAAATCTTTATCTCTGTGTATAAAAGAAGAATTAATGTAAAACTATTTACATATAAAAAACGACTTTAAAACTATAAAAGAATGACTAAAGTGAAACTGAAAGATTTGAAAATAAGAAGCTAAGAAGTCTGAGAACTAAAGAGAAAAAATGTATAAATTCCTATGTATTTCGGAGGCTATCTCTTTTTAAAGAAATTGACTGATTTTTGTTTGTAATTTATCTACGAAATTGTCCCTTCGGTTCTGTTAAAAATTTATTTGAAATTCGGTTGGAGTTTTGACGGACGAACCTTTCGTATTTTGACACAGTCTAAGAGAAGCTTAAACGTAAAGGCGACGGGCGAAGTACAAAAGCCCCTCGACCTTGCTGAGCCCGCATATCTTTTATGCAGGTATACGTAAGTACTAAATCAGCATAAGTATACGCAAACGATAATGTGCATATCGCGCGTGTGTCTTCGGCAAGTGCTTTCGTGTACATCGGCGCACTTATACGCGGTGTCTCGGAATTTTTAATGACTGATGAGTAACAGTAGCAGTTTCCTCAACGATTGCGGTATTCGTGGCTGATTACGTATGTTGTAAATCGCAATTTCAGGTTGCGTTTGACACTTTTATATTTAAATCTGGTCTCGACCGAATCATGCCTCGTAAATCTACGAATATCAACTACATTCTCGACAGTTGTCGTTGCTGAAGCGTGAGCATCAAGTTCCGAATACATTCAGATATTCGAAGTTTCGAGTGTCATTGCAAGCCAGTTTTAATCTATTCGAGTGTGCCTATTGTTCTTAAATATGCGCACGACTGCAATTTTTCGATATCGTTTTCTTACTATCTTACGGAGGAACTTTATGTTTAACGCGATACTCGAGTTATTTTAAATTATCCGAATAGTTTTCACGTTCAGTGAAATCGAACAAATATATTTCACGACGGAGAAAACTATTTGTATTTTTAATTATTTGTATTTTTAACTATTTGTAACTATATTCGCACAAGTGAAAGAATTACGTTGAAAGAAAAAAAGGGCTAAATTTAAGCGAATATTTGCTAAGAAGTATTGGAGTAATTGTTTTACTTGGATTAAGTATTACTGATATGTGGCATTTTCTTTCTTCTTTTAGTATATAATTAGGAGAACTATTTTTCTTTGTTTTTTTATTATTTGTCATTTTTAAGTGTTACAATATTGTCGATGATACTAATTTTACATGCATATTATTACTGCCACTATTATTACTATTATTAAATGGTACTACTTTTTTGTCTAAAACCAAAAGAAGATACAGTTGAGGCCGAAAATTACTATCATTTTAATGGGATTTCATTCCGTGTGTTCAATTTATTCGAGCATGACGAGGATATTTCAAATAATCGTAGATATATTTCGATATAAATATTTCAGGATCAGAGATAATTCGGGATAAATTATTTCACAAGCAGAATCTGCTCGTCGATTAAGTGCGATTGCTTGAAATTCGACACCCAAGTCGCTGAAAATGTTCCATCAATGAGGATTTAAGTCCGCTTCGTGGATCGAGGAAAATCTATGACATGGATTCGCTCGGTTCGACTATACAGCGCAGATTAGAATATTTATAGCTACGTACGCGATGCGTCCGCGACGTCGGCGTCGCGCGCGATCTGCACAAGAAACTTAATAGACAGGTTCTTTGACGCGGCGGGGTTAACGGATCAAGGTGGTTCTGCGGAAAGGCGATTCATCATCATCGTTATTCCGTGTGAGTCTGGGATTAGCGGCAGTGCCGCGTGTCGATGAAAAGCCATGGCGTAACGACGAAAGAGAGGGATCTCCTTCTTACGGTATTACGTAAATTTTAAGTCGCTCACTTCTTCGACCGTCGGCCTCTGCGTGCGCGCGATATCTTTCGGTGCGCGCGTAGGAATAATTTCAACCGAAAAAAAAAGGAAAAGCAACGGCCAACCTTCACGCAAGACGCGCGGACGTGCGTCTACTTCGAAACTGCAACGAATGAAAAAACGTGTCCTTCGGAAGTCCAACGATTTCGCACGTTGAGCACAGCGCGTATTCCACTCGGGACTTACTTACAAACTTACAAAAAGCGGGGAATTTCTTTTGACAGTTGATAAAAGCTGAAACGAGTTTTCGGAGATGCGCGAAACGCCGTTTCTGCAACCGTGGAATTGATTAATTCTTTCCATTTCGGTTTCACTTCTTTTTTTCTGAAGAATTTCANATATATATATATATATATATATATATATATATATATTTGTATGTTATAAAAAAGTGTAGAAAAGTAGATATAATTATTAGAAATAAATAGTTGTTAGCAAAATTGTCGAACGTATGTAGGGAACTAAATTAACTCACTTCGATTGATTAAATTAAACAATGTTAACGCAAAATAAATTTGGGAACTCACTGTGAAGCATACGCACTCCAACGGGATCGAAAGGGTTAAAGTATGCGCGTGTTGTTAATTCTAGTTTGCCGAACGTGTGCATATTTTTCGTGCCGGTACCAAAGCAACATGAATATATTACACGAACGATAGTGCGCATATCGCGTGAACGTGCGTTCACTTCGAAACTGTACCGTAACACGGATGAAGAATGTGTCCCACGGAATTCCGAGAGTCTCGCACGCACGCACGAATGAACGACGGGGACTCTCGAGTCCTGAGAATGTGTGACTCTAGTCGGCCAGTTTTTTAAGCGCCTGAAAAGAGGAGAGAATCTATTTTGACAATCGACAGGAGCCGAAACGAGTTTTCGGAGGAACCGTGTAACGCAGTTA